CGGTGCGAGTTACCCTTCGTGGGAGGGCTTCATCCACCGGCACCTGTGTGAAGCCACGTAGCCATGCCCTTATGGGGGTCAGAGCCTGGCTTGCCTGGTCTGTGCTCTGGTTATGGGGGCTGCCTGAATGCCAGCAGTGCCTGGGCAGCAGGGGAGATGTCATCGGGCTTAATGACTTAATGTCTGGTTGGCAGCCGGTATCAAGTGGAGTGTCCTATGGGTCGGTCTTGGGGCCAGTTTTGTTCAATATCTTCATTAATGATCAGGAAGATGGCATAGAGCGCACCCTCTGCAAGTTTGCAGACAATACCAAGCTGGGAGCAGTAGTAGATATGCTGGTGGGTAGGCCTAGGATTCAGTGACCTAGACACGTTGGAGGATTGGGCCAAAAGGAAGCTCATGAAATTCAAGAAGGACAAATGCAAAGTCCTGCACTGGGGACGAAACAGTCCCCTGCACCGGTGCAGGCTGGGGGTGACGGGCTGGGCAGCAGCTCTGCAGAAAAGGACCTGGGGGTGATGGTGGACAAGCAGCTGGACATGAGCCAGCAGTGTGCCCTTGGTGCCAAGAAGGCTACCGGCATCCTGGGCTGCATTGGCAGGAGCAATGCCAGCAGATCGAGGGCAGTGATTCTTCCCCTCTATTCAGCACTGGGGAGGCCACATCTGGAGTCCTGTGCCCAGATGTGGGCCCCCCATGACAGAAAGGATGCAGACACATTGGAGAGAGTCCAGAGAAGGGCAACAGAAATGGTTTGGGGGCTGGGAGACAGGACTGGTGAGGAGAGGCTGAGGGAAATGGGCTGATTTAGTCTGTAGAAGGGAAGACCGAGGGGGATTGAATAGCAGCCTTCACCTCCCTGCAGGGGGGCTGCAAAGAGGCTGGAGCTGGGCTGGTCTCAGTGGGGGCAGATGGCAGGACAAGGAGCAATGGGCTCAAGCTGCAGCAAGGGAAGGTGAGGTTCGATATTAGGAAAGACTTTCTCCTGAGGAGGTGTTTAAGACCCGGCTCGATGAATCCTTGGCTGGGATGGAGGAGTTGGGGCTGGTCCTGCTTGGAGCAGGGGTTGGACTAGATGTCACCTCCTGAGCTCCCTTCCAGCCCTCCTTGTGTGTGATTCTGTGTCCAAGGGCCCTTATGGAGGGCTCCAGAGTCAGGGCAGCCCCTGGGCATCTGTCCCTGGGGATTTGTGAACAGCGATGGCCCTGGTATTGCACCCAGCCCCGCTGCCCGGGCTTAGAGCCGGTGGGGTTGGAGGTGGGGAGGGCATCATGCTGAGGGTGCACGTGTCTGGTTGAGACCTGCCTCCTTGGCTCGGCTCCGCGCAGGGCTGGTTGGGATGAGGGGTGGGAGGAGCGGGCAGCGGGTAATGGCACCGTGGGCTGACGGGGTGGGAGACGTCGGGCCAGGATGGGCCTTAGCAGTGGCGGTGCATTGGTTTCAATGCCAGGGCACCCGGTGCCTTGGCCAGCTGGTGCAGGAGCTGTGCAAGCCAGGAAAGGCCGAGCCGGCTACATGAGCGCTCCCTCCCGCCCTCTGCATCCAACTCCTGCCTCTCCTAGGCCAGCGGTTCCCAAACTCTTCGTGTTCCCGGCAGCCCTCCCGAGACTCCAGACGCCCCTCAGCAGACGCCAGCTCTTTGCTTTCACTCCCGCTTTCACCGTGGAAAATCAATCGGCGGTTCTGCTGCCAAGGACAGGCCAGGACGGAGGATGCTACGGACATGAGTCCAGGGCAGGTGATTGCAAGCCTCGTGGTGCTAATATTGCACAGCCTGTGGCACCTTGAAAGGATCTCGTGGCACGCTGGGCACAAACCACCGGCAAGCTTTATGGGTGTGGGCTGGGGGCTGGCAAGCCAAGCCCCCACAGTCCCCCGGAGTGGGGCACCTCTGCCCTGAAGCATGTCGGCAACCAATTCAGGCTGCGGCTGAGACCGGGTGCCGGTGAGGGGGACGTCCTGTGACCTGCCGTCAGCCTCCATGGGCTTTGGAGGGAGCAGGCCATTTCTGGGGGGATCCTGGCATCTGTCGAGGCGGGGACCTGGAGTCTGCCAAGGTTGTGAAGCATTGCTCCAAAGGAAAGGAGAGGAAGAGTAGCCAAGGAGAGTGGGTGGGCAGCAGGGGCTGGACACAGAGCAGTGGGACACGCAGCGCCAAGTTCAAGTGCAGCAAGGCTGGGTGGGATCGGCGCTCAGGTGCCGCTTCCTACCCAAGATCGTTAGGACCCAAGCCGGGGCCCGCTCCTCCTTTGGAGGCTCTGTGCCGCGGGCTCTGTCTGGGCCCGGTAACTCCTGGCTGCAGCCGAGATGTTGCAAACCCTTCTCCTGTACCCCCTCCAGCGTCTCTCCTAGACTGACTGGGCCTGGCCTCGTGAGTCTCTCCTCCTAAGGAAGCCCGTCCATAGCGCTCCTCATCCTTGCTGCCCATCTCTGCACCTGCTCTACTTCTCTCTCCTTTGGGAGGTGCATGGTCCAGCCGGTGAGCCGAGTCCCTCAAACTGCCCAGGTTGGGCGGGAGGGGATTGCACTTCCTTCCTGCCTCTTTGGCCCCCTCCATGCCCGCTGTGGCTCAGAGCTGCTGTCCAGCGGGCCCCAGGAAGGACCAGTCTGCAGACGCCAGCCGGCCGAGCCCTGACTCCCCTTGTGCCTGCAGAGATCGAATGCACCCACGCCTCTGTCAGCACCCGAGGGATGCACGGACCGTCCGCCCCTGCCGATGGACAAGCCGTGCTGCTCCCTTGCTAGCATGGAACCGGGGATAAATAAGCCCACCGCAAGCGAGCCGTCTTCTGATACGGGTTTCAGGCACCCGCTGACGGTGGTAGCTTCCCAGGCAAACCCTGCCGCTCGCTCGGCTCCTGCACCTCTGCTCCGTGCACGGAGGCTGCTCGGTTTGTAAACACGGGGCGTGCAGGTTGCTCTCGGAGGGCTTGTGCCTGGGCTGTGGTGCTGCTAGCAGCAGGCAGCACGGCCCGGCGGTCTCATCCCGGCTCCACGACGGCTTCCCTCTCTCTGCGCGGCACAGCCGGGAAGTTTTGGAGCTTTGCCGCTTGCGCGGGGCGGCGGGAGGTATCGGGGCAGGTCAGCCCACAGTGGGCTCCTTGCCGGCTTGGGGTTTTGTTTTATTTTTTTTGGAAGTTAATCAAATCGTGACTGCGTGGTGATTACCGCTAATTAGTAGCCTTCATTAGCAGCTCCCGTTGGTAGATTTGCATATGTTAGACCTAAGTGGTTAATAGTTGGGTAATGACTTTTTTTTTTCTCCCCTGTTCCCCATGGCTTGCAGACTGCGGTTACATGTGTTGTGTTTGGCTTCTAGGCTGCACATCTGTTAGCGCCGTTCCCGGGCACGTTCTCAGGGGGCCGGCGGGCGTGAGAGCCGGGAATCCCCGCGGTCCCGGGCCAACTATGTGTGCTCTCCTCCCTGCCGCCCAGAGCCACGTGTTTGGGGGTTTGCAGGTGGCTCTCAGCACTGGGCACCTTTTCGGGGTGTTACCCCTGCCCGTCTGTCTGGCAAAGGGGCTGGAGCCTGCAGCTGGGGGACGCTTGCAGGTTGGTTACCAGAGGGAAGTGGATGGAGGCTTCGTCCCCCCCCGGGCCCAGACCTGGTGATCTTTCAGCACCCAAGGGAGGCAGGTCCCATGGAGTCACTGGGACTTGTGCCCCGCACGGTGCAGAGGTCAAGCCTGTGCCCCCCAGCTTTGCAATGCTCACAGCCAGGGGACGGGGTTTGGGCATGGAGCTCCCAGCTGTGCTGCTTGCTTTGCTGCTGCAGGGTCTGGCGGGTGCTTTTACCTCTCCCTGCCTCAGCTCATCTCCCCGGTAGACCCAGGAAGCCTGAACCAAAGCATGAAAATCCCCCCTGTTGGGATTCATGAGCTCCCTCCTTTCCCTCCGTCCCACGGGTCGGCCAACCCCGAGCTAGCGCTCGCTCCTGTACCCGCCGCGGCCTTGGTGGTCATGCCAGGCTCCCCTGTTCAGCCCCACAGAACCAGGCTGCACCTGCAGGGGAGGAAGCTTATTCGGCTACGGCGAGCTCCTGCGTGCCTTTTGCTTGCAGTTGTTTTTTCTAAATTAAGGCCACCGCGAAATAAAAAGCCACCTGCCTGCATTTTATTTTAGGAGCTGCTTTTTTTCCCCGGTGAAATAAATCAGGAGCCCGGAAAGGCTGTCCTTCCTCGCTCCCCGCAGGCGCCAGTTGACGCCGGCGCCGGAGGCCTCTGCACCAAAACAGGCCGACGCCGCGTGCCGCCGGGGGTCCGAGTGGGAGGAGACGGCAATGCTGGGGCCAGTGCTGGGCACTGGCTTTGCAAACTTCGTTCCCTTCCTTGCCGCCAGCCCCAGTCTCTGGAGGCCGGTCGGGGTTTGGAGAATTCCCATTAGTGAACACGCACGTACTTATCGTCCTACACAATTGCTGCGTCGAGCCGGACAGGTCTCCCTGGTAGACGGGAGCGGGACAGGTTGGGAGGCTGGACCCTCCAGCCAGGACCCTGCGGGGTTGGTGCCAGTGGAGCACTGGCACAGCCCAGCCCCGTCCCCAGCTGGGGCTGCAGCAGCACCAGCGTCCTTGGGGGAGGTGAAACCCCCCCCCGACACGTGGCCTGGGAAGTTGCTCCTCAGCTCAGAAATACCCCGTTGTCCTGCCACCCGCTGGCGCTTCAAGCCACCGCCTGTGAAGTGCCCAGGACGGAGGACTGGGCAGCTCAGGGGTGATGCTTGCTGTTTCATCCCCCCAGCAAGCGAGAGGTGACCTCAGGGCAGGTGCCGCGGACCCCAGGCCAACAGGGGTGCATTGCTAGCCTCACCCCCACCCCAGACACGTCCTTGCTGCACCCTGGCCCCGCGGATCGGGCCTCGGGGCAGCCTGGCTGTGGCGGGGGCTGTGCTGAGGACATGCTCCTGTGCTGGATTCGGATGGGGGTGGTGGGGCCGTGGGTGCTCCAGGTCTGAAGAGGCCGACATGGCTGGCTCACGTCCCCTCTCCTGTCCCTCCGCAGGACACCCAGAAGGCCAAGCAGTTCCTGCCCTTCCTGCAGCGGGCCGGGCGCTCCGAGGCAGTGGTGGAGTACGTCTTCAGCGGCTCACGTCTCAAGCTCTACATGCCAAAGGAAACCTGCCTTATCACCTTCCTGCTCGCAGGTGAGCTGGGCTTGCGCTGGGCCAGGCGGGAGTGGGAGCAGCCCCTTTGCTGGGCACCGGATCAGTCCAGGGACCGCAGCCGGGGTGCGGGTTCGGCCCCCCAGGAGCTCCCGTGTAGTACTTGCCGCCAAGCCCTCGAGTCACGATGCAGGGGGAAGGCAAAACGGCTGACTGCCAGTGGCATCCTTGGGCTTGGAGTCGTGCTCATGTGTCTCCCGCCAACCTCCCCACCCGGGGCCAAAATCGGTCTCTCCTTGCTGCTCAGGGACAGCGCGAGGCCAAGAGGGGCTCGGGCCGTGCCCCCGCCAGCCGGGCTCTGTGGCAGCTCCTGGCAGAGTCCTCCCTGCCCTTATCTGCCGTGTCCCCAGCTTGCCATCTTCATGGTGCAAACTTGCCTGGAGCCACTGTCCCGGCCTGGGGGATTCCCGGGGGCGGCTGCTGTGCTGGCTCGGGTCCACCATGCAGAGTGTAGCGGCCGCCTGCCTGCCTCTTATACACCCCTAAAAGGGGTGGGGGGGTCTCCTGCCCTCTGTCCTGGCTCTCACCCTGCACCCCAGTTCCCCCCTCCTCCAAGCACCACTCAAGCGGGGTCTAAAAGCCTTGGCCTTGGTGGGGCAAGGCCCAGAGGATGGCAGATCTGTGTCGCACACTGCCGGCAGCCTGATCCCAGCAGGGCCGGGGGGTGGTTACGAAGCTGCCCGTGCAAGAGGGGCGAGGGTCTGTGCGCCCCGCGGGTGGCAGGGGGCAGCTTGTTTTGTGAAGAGCGGACATGCAGCAACGCTCCTCCCGGCCGGAGGTGAAACGGGAGCCTTGAGCCGAGCTAGCGCGGCAGGGCTCTGCCCCTCGACTAGCAGGGGTGCAGGGGTCCCCCCGGGTCCGCACGGGGTCTCCGTCCTCCCCTTTCCTCCACCAGCAGCTGCCGTGTCCCGGGCACCTGCCTGCGGCGCAGGTGGCATCCCGCTAGCCTTCGCGTCTTTCCCCGGCGCGGTGCTCGCAGCTCCGTCAATGGGAGACAATGTGGGACTCTGTTTATCTCTTGTCCCTGTTTCTATGGCGATAACCGTGTATGAAGAATGACCCTGAACACGGATCGTTCACAACTCGGTTATGAAAAATTCAATAAGCATATAAATAGATCCCGCACGGAGCAGCCAGGCTCCGGCAAGCGGCCGTGCCCGGGCTGGGGTCTCGCAGCCGTCGCCCCGCTCTCGGTGTCAGGGCCCGTGCAGTGGTGTATGCTGCCCTGTTGCTTCCCATTGCCTTCCTCTTCCTCTCCCCGCCCGGGGTTTTGGGGTGCGCTCCGGCCCGCGTGCAGCCTGAAGGCAGGTGGACGGCCTGGTGACGGGGCTGCAGCTTGGGTGCTTGGTTTCAGACGCGCCGGGTAGGCAATACTGTGTCCCCCAGCGTGGGCCAGGGTCTCTGGAGCGATGGAGCTGTGCTGATCTCTATAGGGCCCCCCTGGAGCCACGTGGAGCGACGTGCTGTGACACCTGGCCGGTGGCACCCGGGACGCATCCCTGCACGGGCATGTCCCCGCCCAGGCAGGCGGGCGTTGAGCGGGCCCTCGCCCCGTGGGCGACTGCACGCACGGGTATAAATAATCACGTCGTCTTATTTATAATCAACTCGCATCAGAGTCAGCGGCACGAGGCGGGAGCAGAGGCCTGCCGTGCCCTGGATATTGCCCTGTCCTTGTCCCCGCGGCCAGCCCGGGAGCGGGTTGTAGGGTTCCCCGTGGTCTGGGGGCACGGGGTCGGTGCGCTCCGTGGCAGCTCTGACCACGCTCACGAGAGGGAAGGGGGCATGAGCCCTTCATTGCTGGTTTCTTCTGGCCCTGGCGTGTCCCAGGGCTCTTCGTTACCCAGCCGCATGGCCCGTGGGCACTCCCTTAATTAGCTCCGTTAGCAGGACTGCCGTGACCTTTTAGCTTGTTGCAAGCGAGTGAACCCAAGCGCGTTTCCATTGCATGGTGCTGCTCTGCGCCCGCTCACCCTCGAGCCACGGCAGGTAGCTGAGGGGGTCGCATCCAGTCCAAGCCCCAGGGCAGGATCAGCCCCAGACAAACTTTGTGAAACTACCATCAAGCTCCTGGGATCTTCCCCTGCCCTCCGAGCTGGCGCATGGTAGCAACAATGCCCCTTCCCCGGCCCTATAAGAGCCGGGGTCGCGGCTGTGGATGGGCCGAGGCGAGCGGTCGAGCTGCTCCGAGCAGGTTGGGGCTGGCCCAGGCTACGGGGCGACGCGGGACGTTTCCTGGCCCGTCACGACGAGATCCTGCCCGTCACAGTGTGAGAAACCAAGGTTGGCGCCCACCGGTCCCCCGAGTCCCTGCGAGCTGCCCGGCCATGCCAAACCCGCGTGGGCTCCTCGCCGCCCTCGCTCTTGATGTGACGCTTGTCCCCCTTTTCCCCCTCTCGTCCGCGCGGGGCTAATGCTTTCCCTGCCGGCCCATCCCAGGGCACGGCGGTTAAATATATCCGTCCTCCTCCGCGGCGGCTCCGAGCCGGGTAATTTGGCGCGAAGGGAGGACGGTCTCGGCGGCCCGGTAATGGATGGCTCCGGGGGGGAGCTCGCCGGCGGAAAGTTATATTTAATCCCCGTTGCCGTGGAAACCGCCTCGCTGTCGCCCGGATCGGAGGTTCGACGTCCCTCGGAAAAAGTTCTGCCGGTTAAAAATACAGTCGCGGGCTGGCGGTACGGCACAGACGTGGTTCCTCCGCTCGCCACGGAGATGCCGGCGTGGCAGGGTCCCAGCTTGGTTAGAGGAAAGCCGTCGGCACAATGGTGTTGGCATTGGCGGCAAGGTTGGCTTGGGCTCGACGCCGTTTCCAGCCGTGGGGCCAAGAATCCACCTCGTGGCGTGGCGTGGGTGACGCGGGTCTCCCCCTGCTCCAGCCCCACGTGCGAGCACGGAGGCCACGGGCTGACCACACACCGGAGACCCCAAGGAAGCATGCCGCGAGCCGGGGTTTGGAGCTCGGCTGGTCCAGGAGGGACAGTCCTCCGACTTGGCGGATGTCGGTGTTGACGTGGCCGGCACCACGGGCCTGAGCCCCGTGGCTTTGCCTTCTCCAGTCCAGCCAAGGTGGGGGTCGGGTCCCAGGTCCTGCAGAAGCGAAGGTGTGGGGTTTCCCTGGTCAGGGCGGGAATTGGGGTGATGCCACGGTAACCCGTCCTCTGCTCCGGACGGAGGTGGGCACGGAGAAATGCCTCCTTCTCGTTCCAGCCGTGGCGTCGGCCTTCCTGCCCCCAGCACGGAGAAATGCCCCATCTCTTTCCATCCGTGGCTTCAGCCTTCCTGCCCCGGCACGGAGGAATGCCCCCGTGTCTCTCCATCCATATTTTCAGCCGCCAGCCTGGACGGTTACCAGGGTGGGGCTGTTGTGGGGGCAGCTGGGGCAATTGCAGAGCGTGCCCCGCCAGCTGCTCCAGAGCTGGGGGGACCCAGCTGGGTGCCCCCGCTGACTGCATCGTCCGAGCAGCGAGCCCCCGGGACCCCAGAAAAGGGGGCCGGGAGGATGCTTCCCGTCCTTGCGCCAGGGAGAGAGCAGCCGCCCACCTGCGCCCCCGTGGGAGCAGCTCCGTTCCCTCCCTTCCCCTCCCTCCAGCTCCCCTCCGGGAGTCCTCCTTGATCGGAGGCTTGCTAATCAAGTTGTATACATTAATTACGGACTAAAAGGCAGGTAACGTGCCAATTAGCATGGCGAACGAGGCACCGCGTCTGCCTGCCCCTGCTCGGGAGCTCGTACATCTGTTGGTATTTTTATTCCCGGGGTTAATTTGGGCTTTTTTCTGGGCTTTTTTTTTTCCCCACCCCCCTCCCTTCCTCTGTCGTGGTTCAATTGGAACGTGGCGTCTGCGGCGGCGCTAGTCCCCTTTTATGATTCACGGGCTTGTTAACTCCCGGCCGCTCGTTAGCGCTTGCATTTTAAACGACGAGGCTGGTGGTGCCCCGGCCCCTCGCTTACGAGTGCTGCTGTGCGTGCCGCACATACCGACGCCGGGATCTTCCGGACCACTCTCTGCAGCCCAAAACACCCTGCCTCTAAGACCTGGCAAGCTCAGCCCCGACCCCAGAGCAGCCCCCGGGCATGTCCCCTGCCACCATCCCCGCGTCAAAGCTGGCAGTTCCTGGGGGAGGGCAGCGAGCTGCTGGGGTGGCTCGGAGAGTGCAGATTTCCTGCCAGCGAGCCTCCGTCTGCTGGCGTCCCGATGCCGTGCCTGCATTCGTACCCTGGGGGTGGGAGGCCTGGGGCCAGATCCCCGTTGATGCCCTCCTCGCCTGTGCACAAAGCCAGCCTGGCCCAGGTGCTGCGTCACGGCCGAGCCAGCATCGCCCAGGAGCTTTGCACGCCGGCCGGAGCCCAGCTGTGGCTGCAAGCAGGGCCGTGTCTTCTTTGCAGCAGTGGGTCGCCTGTGGCGAGGCCCCCGCATGAACTTGGCTTGCGGTGGAACGGGAGCTCGTGCTCGGGGTTGTGCTTCTCGCCTCCAGCCCCTGTGGCAGGCATGCACCTTTGCCCGTGGCCATGCTAGGTCGCATGCTGCAGTGAGAGCCCGGGGTGGGGTGGGGTGGGGAAACTTGGCCCTGGTTGCTTTGCCGGTGTAAATCAGTTGCATTCGGGTCTGGCCGGTGGCTGTGCCCAATCTCCCCAGCCCTCTAAAGGGAAAGGCTGGGGTTTGGGTGGGGAAGGCCTGACCCCAGAGGCGCTAGGAAGCAACCCGAGACGGAGTCTCCGGTACAGCCTTGCAGCGCAGCTGACACTCTGCCTGGACCCGGCCGATCTATCGCCCTTCTGCTATTGCCGTGCCCGCCCCATCCCCTTTCCCTCTCGCACAGTCCTTGATGCCCATAGCAGGCTTGTTCAGATACCTTCGCAGCCTCCGTGTCCCCAGCGTCGCCTCCCCCCGAGCTCCCGGCATGCCCCGGGGTGAGGAACGATGGGCATGGCAGTGCAGAGGATGTCCCAGTGAGGTGGGCTTTGGGGCAGGGAGGGTGCGGG